CGTAATGTTGGAACTTTGAAACTCTGTTTATGTTTTCAAACCATTATCTTGCATCTCATAAAGTTGATTGCTCCGATCTCAATGACATTTTTTCCAAAAAATTGTCGCGTTCCAAGATAACAGTTTTTGAAAAATCAGAATTAGAAATTGTGATTGTGAACATTCAATTTGGAAAACATCTTCTGATGTCATTTTGAAGGAACTCCATACATTCTTAAAAAAATGTATTTCTTGAATTCCACGTTTTTTCTTTGAATCCAAAAAGTTTCAAGTGTCTTGATATATCCAAGCTTTATGTCGATTGGAGAGAAAAATCAAAGTTGTCCCAATTTTCAATCCCTGTTTTTTCAATGCCAACCTTCTCATTTACACTTATTCCTGGTAAAAGTTCCTCTCATAGATTTCGCAACCTACTTTTCTTCGAGCCACGAGTCCAATAAATCAAGCTCAAAGTCGTCCTGTCGACAAGTTGGGCAGACACTCGTAAAATATTTGAGGGATTTACGAGGCACCTTATTTTCAGTTGACATTTCACTATACAGAACATCAAACATTTTTACGATGTCGCTTCTTGACATGCCAGACTTCAATTTCAGTGCTTGGTAACGATTTTTTTCTTCTTTTTTCTTTCGATTTCTAGGAGTTTTTATTCTCCGCGCTCCGAAAAAAAGCAGAATGAGCTTTCAGGAGAATAACGAAATAGGGAGAAAGGAAAGTGTTTTATGATCATGGTAGATGTTCCGCCAAGCAGCCAACGCCAATTTCCTCAGAAGGACTTTGATTTAGCCATCACTCGGATACCCCTTTCCTCCTCTCTTTTTTTTGTTTACATTTCCTCCGCTCTCTATTATAGTTCAAAAAACAAACACACCGTATTCCGAACACAATACTCCAAGGTTTGAAAAACGAGATAAGAATCTGAAAATGAAGAAAGAGAAGAAAATGGTGGAAAACTTGAAAAATTGAAAAAAAAAGTAAAAATGAAAAGCGTGAGGGAGACCGAATGGAAGAAGTAATACTGAAAAACTGTCATCAAAGCCGAAAGAAACGCCTCCGATCGCTCCATAAAAATTAGGACTGTCAGAATGGTTTACGATGGGGGCGAAACAAATAGATAAGACGGGCAATGAGAGACGAATGGGAGTCGGTACCTCCACGTAAAAAGTCTTGTAGCTGTCTAATAAAATTATACAAAGACAGGCGGGATCGGTTTGAGAGGATTAATTGAACTTTCTTTTGGAGTTAAATATCATAGAATGAAATGGAATCTTATTGAAGCACGTGGAGATATAAAAAATTAACGTAAGATTCAGAGCTAACATGTCCTTATCAGTCAAAACACATGACAGTTTTGACAGGTCAAATCAATTTACCTAAAAAAATCATTATGAAACAGTGGAGACACCTGTTCAGTATCAACTGCTGCTCCTATCAGTTATCAACCCTCCCCTCAACATACCTATTAGGACTCCAGAAGGTGATCCACGAAGCTATCCAGAATATCCGTTCTTTCTTTTTTGAATGAGCTCGTTTTTCAGGAGAAGAGGATAGAAATAAGAGAAATGCGCCGAGAGACGGCTCAACTGCCAAAGAAGAATGGCAAAATGGGAGAAAGGCAGAAGGCGTGGTCTAGGAGCGAACGAAATTGAGCGGGAAGGTGGGGAGGGGAAAAGAAGGCGGAGCTTATTGGTTTGAGGACATTTTTCTCCTGAAAATGAGATTTTTCAAAGTTTGGATTTTCCGAGGCTAAGTAACGGGGAGGAAGATGCAAAAGTCAGTGGTTCAAATGATAGGGTCTGAAAAAAGTAACCGGGCGTGATCTATAGAGGCCGAACTACATCTTAACCCAGAAGCTCAAGAATAAGAGTAAAATCGTTTTGTAGTAAATGAGATCCGACAGAAAACAAAGATTTTAGAAAAGTTGCAGTATGTGAACCATCATACTTTTCCTCGTAAACCTATAGGATTTTTTGGTTGTCAGGCTGAGGTGGAACAGGAAATTGTATTTTTTCAAATTTTTGAATTATTCACAAAAAAACCAGTGATGCTCGGAACGGAACTTGAAATTTCAAAACTTTCGAGAATTTCTGGAATAAAATTTCCAACCGGAATAATTCCAAAAAATACTAAGAATCAAAATCCGGTCGTTATATTTCTAGAGCGTTTTTTAAAATCGAATTCTGATCGGCCATTTTCACTCGCTTTTTTCGTGGGAAAGTGGGATTCCGAGAATTCAGATATTTTAAAATTGGACTATTCTAAGATTCCGAAATACCGGAATTTCGAAAATCGGAATTTTCATCATTCCGAAAAATTTCAAATGGGTCCTTCCGACCAACCACGGGATGGAAAATAACTTTCACAGTTTTTGAAATTAAAAATCTGAACCTCATGAAAGTCAAGGTCCGGTTGACGTTATCCCTTTTTCTACCTGTTTCCTGCTAGCTCTCAATTTGTAGATGTGTAAAACTAGCACAAATTATGATTTAAAAAAAACCATCCAGAGCACTCAAGTACAAAAAAATATTGCTCCGCACTCTTTTCTTTTTCATATTCTGCTTTTCATTTCATATTTTCATTTCATATTTTTCATATATTTTCTGCTATACACATACATATCAAATCCTCAGAAAGCGACTCCGAAAACAAAAATTTCCCAGTAATTAGCGCACATGATATTTGAGATTTTAGGTTTTTGCATATACGCAATCCCACGAGAGTCAAGTTATTGACGTATCGTCTATATTTTTGATGAAAAGTTTTAAACCAAGACAGTGAGTTTTGGAAATTGAATAAAATTTTGAAAAATTGGGGACATTTGAAAAATAAGGGTTTTGAACTGATATAATGAATGATGAGTTTCTCAAATTTTGTCTTATTTGAGAACAAGGCATCAAAAAATGCTTATAGATACACGTCATTCATCTTATATTTTCCCAGCAAAACCTAATTGCAGCTTTCAGAATTCTGGAAAATACGTCAAGAATGGAACCAGGTACAAAGAGTGTGTTGATTTCTAGTGATGGCGGTGGCTGCTGTGAGGAGAACTCATAAGACAAATGGATAGAGCCAACCAGAGATTTATTGCTCGTAAAACTTTCTTTTCTTTCTTCCCGAAAGCAGAAAGTTTATCGGCGGAATCTGCAAAACTTGGAGAGGAGAAACTACATCGGCGATATTCTATTGTCCAAAAAGTGAATTGAAAAATAATATGGACTATGAATTTTTTTATTCGTGTGTGGCGATGAATAGGAATTATATTAACAACGCAAAAGTACATGAGTGATTGAATGGTATGGACTTTTATAATATGAGTTTTTTGAATGTCTATGAACTCATTATGTCGCCTACTGTAACCATTTGATTGTAATCCAAACTTTTTTAGTTAACTTGAAATAAACTTTTTCCAATTAGATCTTATCGGATAACAATTTTGCGACATGTCACGAACAGTTCAAGTTTCTGTAACTCTAAAAAAGATTATATCTTTTTCAAATTGAAAATGACCGGTTTCAGGTTTTTCTCTAACTTATGGCACTGTAGATCACAAGACTTACTTACGTAAAAAATGCAAGCAAACTTTGTTACCTTAGTTCATCGGTTTGAAATGATACAGTATGCGATAATACGTTACCGAGAAGAACACCTTTTAAGTGGATACTTTTTGTATGTTCGAATTCAAATTTTAAACACCGAAAACCCGCCTAATTTAGTGGGGCAAGGTTTTGCATAATCGCTTCAAAAACCACCTCTTTCGTTTTGTGTCGAACGACCACACCAACAATTCCAGATGTGTTACCGATTCGGTGCAATAAAAGCAATCCGAGAGAGATGTTAAAACGAAACTTCAGGTTAAACCATTGGATGTTTAGGCAAATCGAATAAAATTTTAGGTGACTCGGATAAAACGTATTGTTACAAGGAAGAATTACAATGTTGTTATGTACGAAAAATACGATGGCGTTTATTTTGCAACATTCACTATCTAATGAAGATGTATGGAGATGAAGAGAATCAAATTAACAAATCGGCAACGGTTTTTGCTGTAATTGAATACCCCGCAGATTGACCGAAAGTGATGGTTCCGTATAACTGTGGCGAGAAAATAAAAATACGATTACATAGTTAAAGAGAATGACCACCATGATTGCCGGTTTTCACTCTCTTCAACCTTCACCGAACGCGTAACGATGGGCAGAAAATCGAGAGATAGGAAGAATCGGGGCGCAGCGCGGCGCGCATAAAAAATTGCATGGCCTGAAGAGAATATGATGGAAGATGGTAATTGCATTGAGTAAGAAGAACGGCATGATTACTCGCCGTGGCGGCGGCGACCCGGCGGTTAAATAGAGCGAGGGAGGAAGAAAAAAAAGGAGAAGAACGAATAATGGTTTTGGGGAATGAGACGTTTTGTGAGAAAAAAAAACAAATGGGTGTGGAGTGTCCGTTTGCCAGTTACTGGGGTAGGCTGAATTTAGAAGACGGATTTTTTAGAGGACAATAATCATGTAAGGATAGGGGCCCGTTTTTGAGTTAACCGATTTTGTGGGACTTCACTTAACTTTATAAATCTGGATTGTCTGAAAATTCTCAAGTAAACTGAATAGAAATAGATTTTCAGATTTGTAGTTGACAATTTTTTGCGAAAATTCATACAAATAAGATAAACGTTCGAAAATGTTCCAATTTTGAATAAAGTGATATTTCTGGAAGTTTTGGCATTTGGTTGTTTTGGACCGGCTTATCTCCTTTTACTGAATTTGTACAAAAAGCTTCTACTACAAATTTGAAGGTCTATTTTCGTTCAGTTTGCAAGTGAATTTTCAGTCAGACTCACGAAAATCTAACTATAATTTTTCAACATTCTAGGCTGACTATTTTCAAGTGAAAGTAGGTAAATTTGATTAACTTTTGAACGTAGCTGTAGCTCAAGTAATTCAAAAATCAAACCGAATTTTAATATTTCCATTCAAACCAATATTTTCTAAAAAAGTACTCACAAGGGAGGTGTTTTCAGACAGTGTTTGAGAATTTCTAGAAAATTGGTGCATATATACTTTCGGACATGGTAAATAACGAGACAACTTTTTTCGTGCCCCTCGGTACCTAGAAGCTGAAAATTTGCGTCGGAAATTTCACCCCATTTCAAATCATTCAACACGCGACTTCTCCCCCTTTCTTATACGCATCGGGGAAGCGTTAAGAACAGCGAGGTGTGGTGTAACGGCGAGGAGGGAGGAACATTGTCTGACAAGGGTTGGGTTCAATCCCTCTCTCGGCCAAAACTTTTTTTTGTTTTTTTTGTTTTGTTAAAACTTATACGTCTGAAAATTCTTCAAATTTAATACTTTCAAACTTTATGAAAAACTAATATGTACCAGAAAATAGATTTTTGCGAGAAAAAAGGAAATGATTACAAAACTAACAACAATTATGATGCTGGATAATGAAATCTTCGAAACATAAGTGATTATCACAGTAGATGCATTTCATGAAAGCAGTGTTTGGGGTCCAAGCTAGAAAATGTTCGTTCTTAAATGCTTTCGGAATTCAAACTCACTCTTATCCTGCAATTCTTCTTCGAAATTGGAAATGTGTTCTTCGCTCGAAATTTCATAGTCTCCTTTGTTGATGGATTCACCCATATGAATAAGGTGAGCAGCCAACTTCAAATCCTCTTCGCTCATAGGTGGACGCTTCGGATTATTATCGTTCGTATCCAATATGTATTCTAGGACTCTTTGAAAAGTGGTCATCGAAAATACGGTAGGAGCAGGGAATAGAATAGAAAAAATAGGGGAAAAACGGAGAAAATGAAAAAAAAGACTTTTATAGGCAATTTTTCGCGCGTTTCAATTCTATTTTCTGGTACATATTAGTTTTTCTTAAAGTTTTAAAGTATTAAATTTGAAGAATTTTCAGACGTATGAGTTTTAACAAAACAAAAAAAAACAAAAAAAAGTTTTGGCCGAGAGAGGGATTGAACCCAACCCTTGTCAGACAATGTTCCTCCCTCCTCGCCGCTACACCACACCTCGCTGTTCTTAACGCTTCCCCAATGCGTATGAGAAAGGGGGAGAAATTTCAGACGCAATTTTTCAGCTTCTAGGTACCGAGGGGCACGAAAAAAAGTTGTCTCGTTATTTACCATGTCCGAAAGTATATGTGAACCAATTTTCAAGAAATTCTCATACTTTGTCTGAAAACACCTCTCTTGTCAGGTTTCAAATGAAACTACGACGTGAATTTTTGCATTTTTTGTAAAACTAATTGAGTTCATCTTAGTTCAAATCTCAAAGATTAAACCTAGTAAACTTACCGGTAGGTTTATGCGCGCACTACAAACCACGAACTTTTTTTTTCAAAAATATGAGTTTCAAAAAAAGTTTCCAGCAAGTTGTGAATATTTGATGCCACTTGTCCATTGCAAAATCCTACTAATCCTAATCGCGCAACATCAAATGGGGAATAGAGGACATCTATTAGGTTGGCGGGAAAGTCTTTGTCACTCTGTTTGTTTAATCACTGTTCTCGTATATGGAGGCTGTGTATGATATCGACTCTAGTGAATAACAAGGTGATAAGAACCTTCCATATAAACAAGTCCCCATTTCCTTCCCTGCTCCTCATCTGTAATTGAAACGATATGTTTGTTCCCACTGCTATTCACATCAGACATGTTTTGATTTACCTCTTCCTATCTCACACCACGATGAAGGATTCGGAAACTTTCTTGAAGAATGTGTACAACACACATGCCCCTCACTACAATACTATTCGCAATTGGTTCCATCGTTTCGAAAAAGATGACTTCTCGCTCGATGAAAAGGATCGCTCTGGGAGACCCCGTGAGTTGGATTTGGACAAGCTGAAGCACGCATTGCAATCGGATCCATTTCAATCTAGCCGTGAACTAGCTGTCACATTCGGAGTTCACCATAGCACAGTCCTTGAAGGTTTGAAGTCTCTTGGAATGAGAAAACTTTTTGGTCGATTCATACGTCATCACCTGACTCAAGCCAACCTTGACCGCCGAGTCGACGATTCGATTACTCTTCTCACTCTCCACGCGGGCGATCGATGGCTGGACCGGCTAATAACCGGAGATGAGAAGTGGGTCTTCTACGATAATCACCACAGGAAATCCCAGTGGGTTGGAGAAGGAGAGAGCCCACAGGATGTCCCCAAACCCGACCTTCATCCGAAAAAAGTTATGCTCTCTGTGTGGTGGGGAGTGGACGGCCCCATCTACTGGGAACTTCTGCCCGAGGGCAAAACAATAACTGGAGACCTCTACACTACTCAACTACGAAACCTCAAGAAAGCAGTCGACCGTTCGGCCCTGAAAGACAAGAAAGTGTACTATCAACATGATAACGCTCGCCCACATGTTTCGAAACAAGTGAAGCAGGAGCTGATGGGATATGGATGGAATGTTCTCCCTCACCCCCCGTATTCTCCTGATCTTGCTCCTTCCGACTATTGGTTATTTGGCGATATGACACGTGCCTTCGAAGGAAGAAGCTTCAATTCCCGTGGAGCGGTCGAAGCGGCACTCAAACAATACTTTGCCTCACGCCCGGCTGGATTCTACCGCAATGGAATCCATAAATTGAGGGAACGTTGGAGACATGTTGTTGATAATGATGGACAATATAATTAATTATTCGGTTATTTTTTCTTTGAGAAATAAACTATTGAAAAAGTGACAAAGACTTTCCCGCCAACCTAATACTTATTTTTTTTCGATAAAAGTATTTTGCCAAATAAGCATATCTGAGCGCATGCAGAAGTGGGTTCTCTTGCCAGAAAAAGAACGTTTTCCTCTTGGCTAGCGTGCCACGGCCGCTTTTTTTTGCGCTCGCAAAGAAGAAACGGAGATGACAGATGAGAAATTTATAAGAAATTTTCTAGGACGACGAAGGAAAAAATGGAACGGATGAAACGACAATTTTGAACATGTGTGAAACGAAGAAAACAAATTGAAGAAGAAGAAAACTTCATGATTACATGTCAATTACTCTTTTCTGCTCATTTTTTCACATTAGTTGTTGATCTTTCAATATATATCATCAACAGCTTACACTGAATTTGGATCTGTTTTTGAATGCGAAAAGGTTTTAATTAATGTTTGTGTGCTTCGCGCGAAACTTTAATTTTTTCCCTATCAAAGTTGTTTCTTTGAATAAGAATGAAATGTTTCGTGATTTTAATTTTGTTTGCGAAATTGGCTAATCAGACAGAATGGTTCATTTCAAAAAAAATTGTGAATATTTCAGCAATTTTGCGAATATAAAAATTCAGTTGTTAAAGAAGAGATGAACATATAAACTGAGTATCAAGAAATGTATTTGCTCATGTTCTCTTTTATATAAAAAATTCGCAAATTCTTTATTAAAACGACACCAAATACTTGCCTTTAGAATTCAATTATCTCGGTTCCTATGAGTGATATCGAAAGTTTCTCAATTGATGAGATGTTTATCATAACATAACGAACATGTTTCTAGTTTGCAATGTTTCATATTTAAACGAAAACCGAGATAATTGAACTCAAATTGGAAATATAGTGTGGCGTTCTGTTTGAGCAGGCGCGTTATTCTAGTTCAAAATATGATGAATACAGGGATGAAAACCAAAAATATCTGGCTCAAAATGAGACATGCAGCACTAAGATATGCAAAAAATCATATTTTCAAGTTAATTTTCAGAAATTTCGACCATTTTCAGAAGTCTGGAGCTCGGCTGTCATGTTTCCAATCACGTTGCAAATTTCGAAGGGTTTTAATCAGAACTAGATAGTAAATTTAATATTAACTGAGTTTTTTGAGTATTATTAATTTTTCAGCTAATTGTTAATTCCTGAAATACAGTTTTTTAGTTTCGTTTTTATCATACTTGCTCGCGAAACGTTTGAAAATCAAAAACTTCATTAACAGAAAAATGGGTTGGGGCAGTGCGTGTTGATGAACCAATAAATGTGTTGAATGTTAAGTAATAGGTTTGCGTCCTAAGAAAAAAAATAAGAGAATGCGTGATTTAAAGAAACATTGGTTTAATTTAGTGGTTTTAGTAGGATGGGACGTTGTCGAATCCTGGTCTTTTGTACATGCGCTCCGAGCTGCGGTCTTTTGGCTTCTCGATAGTTCTGAAAAAATTTTAACTTTCTAGAGTCACTTGAATGAAAATTATTGAAGATTTCAACAATACACATACTTGATGGTACCGAATTGGCTGTGCGTGAGCTCATTCACCGAATGATATGAAATCGAGCCGCGAAGTGGTGCTGGCATATCTCTATCGTCTACGTCATCAGCCACAAACGGTCTGAAATATTTTTTTTATTCTGTAGATGTGTTTGAAATGCCATTTCTATTCTGTGTGATCCACCTCTCAAGTTGTGACAAAAACGATTTATTCGAAAATGCTACAACCGAAAAGGAAGAACACCAGAAAATAAATGAACATTGCGTAAAGGAATACAAATCAAGAAATTCTAAAAGATAACTGAATAAAATTGTCGAGTCGGTTGTTGATAACTATTGGCAGTGCAATTTGCATGAGGTTTGTTTTGTTGTGAAAATGAAGTTTCAAGTAAATTTATTCTGTCGATTTGGATTATGTGAATTGTAGCATACTACTCAGATTGCGTAAAGTGTAGGTTTGAAAACGTGACGGTGATTTTTCGAAGAATTTTTTCTGATTTTAATGTTTCAGTTTTTGTGATAAATGGTTCTAGACACTACTCTATTGTTATCATTAGTCATCGACCGGATTATAACTAGCAATCTGTTCGGTTGTTGACCTGTAAAAGGCGTTGTGAGCTCTCTGTGGCGAAAGTGGAGCCGGCTCTAGGTGCTGCGCCGAGCATGCCCGACTGATCTCGTCCTCGCTTCTCTGAGTGATTTGCACAGGTTTCGGTAGCATACACGTCGTCTCTTGCATTGGAGACGGCACGAATTTTTCTGAAGAAGATCTCGGGTTTTTTATATATTGCTTCTTTTATTGGTTTATTGGAAAAAAGGTCAGAAATGAGCACATACAGGCAAAAGTTATTTTCTCAAAAATCAAGAAAAAAGAATTTGATGGATAGTAGAAAAAGTGGAATGAATATGAAGAAGAAAATGTACACCATGCGAGAGCGAGATAAATGTAAGGACTACATTTGAAACTATTATTGTTGTTGATATTTTTGTATTTTTGGAAAAAAAGGCGTGGCAGTGATCTTGGAGATTTGTTCAACTGCAACAATAGCTCAAATGTGAAGAGTATTTTAGACTAGATTCACAGCATTTCCCGGGAATCAGATTCAGACACTGGACGCTCATAGACAATTTCCTGTTTAAAGCTCTCTTCAACAGTCTCATGCATTCCATGGCGGACCATTGATCCATTATCACTGTCATAAACATTGTTGGATGGTCTTCTAAGATAGTTCTGGGTCACTGCATATTCCCTTCTTCTGTATCCATCATCTGGCCCTCCAGATCGCTCGATATCCAAATTTCTTCCATTTCCATATCCATTTCCATATCCGTTTCTGTATCCTCCGTTACGCGATCCAGTGTCATATTTTCTACCGTACGCACTGTAGATATCATCCGGAGTACTGTACTTTTGCTCTTGGAATGCGTACTCGTCAACTAGACCATCATTGTTACGAAGGGCAGAATACTTGTTACCGGTAGAGGAGGAAGTAGCATTCAAGTCTGGAATGGGAAAGAGGGTTTAGAGAAGAAGGGGAACTCGAAGTCCAGGCACATATCACATCAAAAAACTTGTAGGTCATGCGTTTCTAGCTTGTCAGTTTACCTTTCTTTGGACGGCTTCTCCACCATTTGGCCAAATAGTATGCAAGGCAGGCTAGGAAGAGAAGAAGAGCCAGAATAGCCAAAATGATGCAGAGGATCATCAGCCTGACAAAAATCTACAGTAAGATTTGAAAAAAGATAGTTAACCTCACCAGAGAGGAATAGTAGCCGGTGTTGGAATGCAGCATGTGCGTCCGCAACATTCGAGATCATAGTCACAGCTGGAACATTTGAATAATTGTATATACAGTACCGGTCTCGAAAACGCATTCCTAGTGGATTTTGGCCATTGTCAGGAGTCTGGAGCCGGGCTGTTGAGTTTTCCATCATGTTGAAAATTTTAGAGGGTATGAAACAGACATAGATTGGAACTTTCGCATTCACAGAATTATTTGAAAACTCCTAGTTTTTCAGCTATTTGCCAATATCGGAAAGACACTTGTTTTTTTCCGTTTCCAGTACAAAACAGGACAAATATGGGTGTCTTTCGGAAATAGGAAAATATCTGGAAAAAATAGGAATTTTCAAAAAAACTCTTTGACTGCAAAAGTTTCAATCTAGATTTGTTTAACACCCTCCAAAATTTACAAACGATTGGACACTTGACAGGCGGGCTCCAGATCCCTGACAATGGACAAATTCAGCTGGAAAAATGACCGTTACTGTATAAGGACTGGATAAGTTGCTTCAATTCTAAATTAGAGTTTCAAAAATCCATAGTAAACTGATACTAGTACTGTCTGAATGTTGGATTACCGGAATTCATATCGTTCGTTCTTTCCCTCAACATCTCCTTCTTCGAAAATGCACTGTCTGAAGGCTTTCGTGTAGCCTTCGTAGAGTATACCCTTGCTGTCGCCTTGCAGTGCTATCTCCATAGCTGAAAACCAACTACAGTACACAATTTCAAAAGATAAGAAGAAAATAAGGTTCAGAAAAAAAAGAGGGTAATCAGAAAATTGAAACAGAAGAAACAATACAAAAACCCATGGGGGCCGTAACGGTAATAATGGGAGTGGTATAGAAAGAGAAACAAGGAGAGAGAGAGAGAGAGGAGGGGGGGGGGGGATGTGAATTTAAGGGAGTGGTTGTTTCTTTAACATTTTTCTACTTTACCTTTCACCCATCCCAACCCATCTTCTCAGATTCCTCTCTCACTTCTTCTCGTCTTGTCGAGAAAAACGACATATCGAGAAGAAAAAGAAGGAGAAGAAGAACAATCATTTCTAAAATGTGTTTGTTGTGTAATTGCAGGCGTGGCAAGAAGAGAAGAATAGTCAACTTTCTTTTTTCTCTTTTCTAACTCCTAATTAATCAACCATATCACCTCTATGCGAGGGAAATGTGTATGCACGAACAAAAACAATAACTTCGAGATGGGCCTCTTCTAGTGAAATCAGAATTGGTTAGAAGTTTTCTAAAACTGAACACTAAATGTAAGGGTCACGAGACGAACGAGTTGTTAGACTGATAGATGGGGACAAGTGTAATGTCTTTTGTGTATCTATTCGTTTCCGGTCAGAGGTGGCGGATACAAAGTGATGTGTACATACCGATCAGTACTGTTTGGAAGACATTTTCAAATTAATTCTTCCAGATGAAAAGGGCGAACACTGAAAATTCGTTAATACCTTATTGAAAATGGGAAATAAAGTACGTTTTTCATGAGGAAGGTGTGGCAATTTTCTTTTTCACCCCTCTCAACTTTTTCTTCTACCAATCATTTTCTTTTTTGTCAGGTCGAATATTTATTACCAGTCTCACGAACACGGGTAACGCCTATACAAACGCCTCCAAGGCGCGCACACAGCCAAGAATTTGTTTGAATTTCCTGGTAAAAAGTTAGGGACCGTGAGTGAGTCACAAGGTCTTATACGTTGATCACAAACCAGATTTCCATTAGACCACCCCCTATCATTTCGGCGCGGTTTATTTTTTTGTGGGGATGATGGAATTTGATAAAGTGTCGAGAATGATAGAGGTAGTGAAAGCTTTCAAAGTACTATTGGAACAGATTTATAGGTCAGAACGGAGACATTAGAATCGTAAAATAAGAGGAGAGAATTTTGGCGCCAGTGTTATCATAAGTGTGATTGATGTGTCTGGCAGTATGTATACTGTAGGCTTTTGTTTTCACAGGAAAAATAAAGATAAAAGAGATAAAGTTAATTTCACAAGTTTTACTTAAAGTGCCGCATTTTGACTATTTTTAGAAGCTCAATTGTAAAGTTTCCAAACACTTTGAAAATTCTGGAAAGTGTAAAACAGACCTAGATTGAAAACTTTGCGTTTACAGAATTTTTTGAAAATTCCTAGTTTTCAACTATTATCTGGTCTTTGAAATACACCCCGTTTTGACCCATTTTGGTACTAAAAACATGAAAAATGTTTCTCTCAGAAACCGGCAAACAGCTCGAAAACTAGCAATTAAAAAATTCTGTGAATGCAAAGTTTTCAGGCTAGGGATGTTTTTTAATCTCCATGATTTCAAAAGTGGTCGGCAATTTGACACCCGAGCATCAGAGTCAAAAACAACTGAAAAATTGTTTAGCCGGCACTGTACTAAAGAAATATATTTTTACTAAATTGAAAATTTCAAACTTCCGAAAGAATACGGTAGTTATTAAAGACAAAATAATAAATTAAAAAAAACAACACACAAGAGAATTGATTCAACTTCGAAAACAAACTTTAAAATCTTAGATTTTTCAATTTTCATACGTATCTAAAATATTTATTCACACCTAAACGTTAGAAAATCTTTAAGAAAAAAAATGCAAAAAAATCAACGAAAAACTGTAGAAATTTGGAAAGCAGGAAGAAGTAGAAGTGTATGGACAAACAAATCAGTAGGAGGGCAACCTAAGAAATAGAGGTAGGGAAGAGAAGAGAGATAAAATGTTTTATTTGGGTAACGAGAACTGTAGGACGCAAGCCGAAAGCCGCTTGGCATAAGTGCGTAGGTGCTTTCCTCCTTCCGAGTGGAGCAAACATGAAACAACTTTTTGGCTTCTATATATTTTCTTTTCGTCTCTTTTTCTCCTCTTACAGGTTCACTCTCGTCGTTTTTTTATTGCGCAGTTTTTTTGTCTTGTGTGTCCGTCGTCGCCATCAACTTGAATGCACTAAAGAGCATAGTTACGGAGTACGCCTGTGTACCTCTAAGGCCACGCGCGGATTATCATTTCTTACATGCCGTTTGGAAAAATTGTATTCTCCTTGAAACAGGAAAAATGGCAGACAGTTGAAAAGAATGACAAAACTTTTGAGTAATACAAAAATTGGAATTATAGGTAAAAACAGTTTTTTTTATATATAGTTTCAATAAAGTAGCAGGGATTTTTTTAATTGTTAAAGTCACTAATTGGCCTTTTGTGTAGTCCTATTTGAAAACAGGTTCTCATTTCAAAAAATTGAAAAAAAAGAAAAATAACTTCCGTTTAATTGGGTAATTGTTTCAGAACGGCAGAAAGAGAAATGAAAATTGGATGGATTAGAATTTTTTTCAGTATTTCCTAGTCTCCATGGCTACAGAAAGTTATTTTGAAAGAACAATACCTTAAATGCTACAAAACTCTTAACTTGAATTTTGAGTTCAATTATCTCAAATTATGAAAAATATATAAAAATTTTGTCAACTGATCAAATGTGTGTCATATCATGACTATCTTTTTTTTTAGTTGACGAGTCTCTTACGTTTCTCACAGGAGTCGAGATAAAGACTGTAATAGAAAGCCACCCTATTATTGTACTTTAAGTTTGTATATCTCGGTTCCTCTGATAGATATCAAAAGGTTGTCAACTAACAAAATGTTTGCATAATATCACTAACATTTTATCAGTTAACGCATGTTTGATATCTCGCACGAAAACCGAATAAAATAAGCTCAAATTGGAAGTATAAGGGTGGCATTGTGTTAACGACAATTGAGACCAGAATGGGAGTTTAATGGTAAGGTTCTATTAAAAATAATACGCTATCCATTAGAACTCCATATTAATCCATAAAAATTGCAATTTTCAAAACTAAGTTGTAGAAATACACTGTTCATTTCTTACAAGTTCTAACAAACAAACACACAGAATAAACTGTAAGGAAGAAAAGAAGAACGATTGATTTGAAATTGATTTGATTTGAAATCGAGGTCGATGGTTAATGGTTTTGCCTCTCCATGTCCTCTTACTACTATTCGCTCACCACAATCTCTGTGTCGAGGACACGTTGAGTTAATGACAAACCGAGAGAGAACCAGTCCTGTACGAGAAGATGGGAAGAGAGGGGTGCCCGTGAAAAAAAAACAAAGCGATTTGTAAACGCTGATGATCAAAAGGGCCAACAGCAACACGAAAAAGCGGTGAAATGAAGAATCTCTTTTTGTTGTGTCTCTCCCCGTCTTGTGGGCAAAGATGTCGCCGTAAATAATTTATTTTTTGTTTGTCTCTGATGATAAACCGATTGTAATATCTTTATATGCAAATATCAATGTTGCGAAAAGGCTAATAAAATTGACAAGAATGTTTAGCAGGAGATTTATAGACATTGAAAAACCGAATGAACTTTTTGTACAATGATTCGGGGGTACAAGATTGGTGATTCGAGGGTACAAAATTCGTGGGTACAAACTATCAATGATTCTGGGATACAACCTATTTCATTTGGGGGTACAACGCTTGTGATTCGGGAGTACAATTTTTTTTAGGGAGTTTCTGAATTCCTGAATTTCAGAGCTTGAAAATCTCAGAATTCTTCGAATTTCAAAACTTTGCAATCTCAGTATTTCGGAATTTGAAAATTTCGGAACTTCAGAATCTGAAAATCTGAGAATTTGCGAATTTCAAAACTTCAAAATCTCCGAATTTCAGAACTTTTAAATCTCAAAGTTTCAGAACTTCAGAATTTCAGAACGTCAGAATCTCAGTATTTTGAAATTTCTGAATTTCCAAAAATTGTGACAAAAGTTTTTCACTTCTCATTGTCACATTGTTCTTTCTGATTTTGTATCATATTTTTCACTCTTCATGAAAAAAAATTGTGGAAAATGTTGGGCATCGGCTGAAAGGCAGGAAATGTTTTTTTAATTTTGAAGTCTTGAAATTTCCTGAAAGCACACAATGGAGAACTGTAAAACATACTTGCATAATCAGGGCCCGGCCCGGCGGGACCGGGTTCTCCAAATTTGAATTTTTTTTTTGAAATTTCAGTCATTTTTTCAAAATGTTTTGTGAAAAAATCTTTTTTTTATGGACACTCTTATTTTGAAAAATGTTTTACTTGATCAAAAAGTTTTCCATTTTTTTCTATTGACCCCAAAAATTTTTTCGAAAAGACAGGAAAATTTTCTTCTGAAAACCCGGGCCGAGACGGGCCGGGTCCTGAAAATTCTGAAAAAAACCCGGCCAGGCAAGTATGCTGTAAAATATTCTATCAATTTTTCTCAATTGCTTTCTTTTCTCAATTCTATCTCATTCCTTTTGTTTCTCAATATTCTTTCGTTTTTTCCTCCCAATTTTTCTCATTTTTCCAACTTTTCTCAATTTTCGTGGTAATTGAAATTTTTCTCATTTCTTTTTTGCCTAAAAGGGTATAGTAATCCTACATGCAACACTTTTGAATACCTATGTGTGTGTTGCAAAACAATGTTTTATGGTGCTCCATAAATAATTTCGTTTTTTTCAAAGGCAGTTTTCTCTGCCATGGCTCGTTCTAATTTCAAAAAAATTTTTTCCTTGCACACTCCATTAAGTCATTGAAAATCCATATGAAATAAGTGCCAAAACGATTCAGGTTTTCCGAGGAGAAATCATGGAAGAAAAGTGATTTTTCGCTACTTTTTTGTACGAACTTCTGCTCGGACTAAATGCAACCTAGTTGAGCACAAGTATTAGGTTGGTCCTTATGGTTGCTTTTTTGTTGTCTTTATGGTGGCTTTTTTAAATATCATTTCAGTAAAGTTTTTTGAATAATAACAAATTTTATTACCATCGCAACTTTTTTTATCCATTCTTACCATATTTGTACCGGGCCGGGCTTTTTCCCGAATTTCGGAGGCCCGGCCCAAGCCCGGCCCGGCGGGCCTGTCATTCCACAAATTTTGAAAATTTCAAAGAACCAGGGCTGTCCAAAAGGCCGGCCTCGGCCGGCCGAAGGCCTCGCGCAATTTTGTGCGGCCGAGGCCGTCGCAATTTCGCTTCATTGAGAAAAAGCCTCGCGAGGCCTCTGCCGCCCGAGGCCGGCATCGCAAATATGACTATGACGTTTTCATTCTTTTTTCTTTTTATTCTTCCACGTATTTTTTACGTAATAAATACAAATACTACGGTAAGCAAGTCGCATATTGTACGACAAGTTGCGTTTTTTTTTAATTTTTTGTTTTTTCTCGCTCTTTTTCAGCAAATCACACATTTTTTGAGAGTTTTCTCGATTTTCGATATTTAGAGCATTTAAAAAAAGGAGGAAGTCAAGAAATCTTTTATTCAACACTGAGATAACAGGGGAGAGAAAATGACAACAAATTCAAGAAAATTAACAAAAAAAGCTTGTGTTCATGCATCAAAATCTTCAAGTCTCGCCTGTGTCGAATCGATCTTTTTCTTTGAG